AAGGAAGAAAGAAAGAAAAGGAAGGAAGGAAAGAATAAAGGGAAAAGTTACCTTTTGCCATTGTCTTTGTTTCTGGTTTTTCTTTTTTCTCAATTTTTTCCTTGTGAGTTGCTTAAACAGAAAATTTTATATTAGTACATACTTTTAAGTAGATTTCAAGACCAAGCTTTCTCTTTACCTCAATTTTTATAACCATCAAAATCATGAACTATTTTGAAGATTGATGACATTAATAAGCCTGATTTAGAAATAAAAAGATACTAATGTAATAATAACTGTTTAAAATCCAATTTAAAAGACTTGGCATTAAGATTTAGAAAGCATTTTGAAAGCTAGTCTCACTCTCCTTTTTAAAGTTATTATTCTAAATAGATAAAGTTTTCAGGAAAGACGAACTGAGAGAGCAAATTTATAATAATTTGATAACATCAAAGTATTTGATAACATCAAAAGATGTTATTTTATCAGGAAGAAACATCTCTTTATGATTAATTAAGATAAATATTTAAATCAGAATTAGAGCTTTGATTCATAACAGTGTTTCACAACAAGGACATAATTGACATTTGGGGAAATAATTTCTTACTATAAGGGACTATCTTATGCATTACAAAAATGCTTAGGATCTCTCATCCCTGCTTTACCAAATGTCCTTCACTCTAATGAAGGTTTTTCTAAATAATCAATCCCTAAGAAATAGCATCTTTGGTAGAGAACAACCAGTGAAGTATAACATAATCACAAATGATTACTGATCGAGTGTAGCTTCTTAATTGAATAGTATTTGACACGATATCTGAAACATTATACCTTTTCATTGTTATGTAATAAATTAATAAATCAATATGAATTTATTTCACTAACTTCTATTAAGTAAAGGAGCCCTGAGACATACAGAAGCATGTGCAGGTTAGCCACTGTTCAAATGTATTAAACTGTGTGTGGTTTGGTAGTTTCCCAAACCACCATATATTTTTCAACATTTATGTATTATTTATTGGAGAATAATGGGAATTAAAGAAATTATAGGAAATTAAATGAAAAATAAAATATTTAATTAAACAGTTGGGTTAAGAAAAGAGTCAAATTATTAGAGTAAAAAATTAGACGCCCGATTATTTCCATTTCTCCAGCTATATAGTAAGAACATTAATATCCATCAGCTTTTACTTGTATTATAAAAGAAAAAAATGTGCCTGAATATGTATTTAACAAACTAGTCTTTTAAAATACAGTTGATGAATAGTTTCCCAGAATCTTGGAGTGATAAGGCAAACCTCATAGAAAGCTTAAAGCACAATGCTCTGTTGAAGGCCAAGTGACCCTGGCAGTTGCAGGACTAACGAAAAAGCAGGTGCCCACACCCCCTCACCCCCGCCAGGGTGTCAACCTCTCAGCCTGCCCCACAGCCATCTCCACTACCATTTGGGGTTATGGGTGATAGCTTGGACAATGTTAGCTGAAGGAGCACTATGCCAAGCTAAGAAAGGCACAATTCACACAAGGTCATGGGGTTGCAGTATAATAACTTTATAAAAAGCAAACTCCTTTAATTGGTATGCAACTAATCAAAGGACACTTAAAATAAAGCATTTTGTTCTGCTTTGCAATTAGAAAATTTCCCGTAACATTTATAATTTAGGGGCAACGAATTCTTAACCATGTTTTAACAAAAAATATTTAGCCACCGTGAAAGTTGAAAAACATCATGAGAAATATCAGATTATTTCATTTAGTCAGAGTACATAGAACCTGATGCCAATAATTCCGCATAACTTAATAGCAGAAGGGAAATAGACACCTGTTTCTAGAACAAAGAATGTGGCTGTATTGAAATCCGTGGATATTATTACTAAGTAAATGTTAATAAAGCAACAACTATTTAATTCAAAATTTTAAATGTGAGTATAGAATAAAGAAGATTGAAACGTGTTTCAACTGATCTGATTCCTAAAATATTATAAAACATTCCAGCTAAGTGGAATGTTCCACAGAAGATAGCTCAGCAGGGTATGCATATTGTGGACATATAAATCAGCTGAAATCTAGCACAAAGATCCTAGACATTATCCACTCTAAAAAGCAAAAGAAAATATAATTTTATTTCATAACATACATTAAAATGGATTTTTGATGAATTAAAGTTAAATGTGAAATACGAAACTAATTTTAAAAACTTGAGGAAATATTAGTAACTATTTAATTAATCTTCGAATGAGAATTCAAAAGCAGAAACACCAAAATATCAGCATACCTAGCCACATAAAAATTCAAGACTAAACACAAACACAGGCATGCATACACACATACATGCACTCACAAATGTCTATGCACACAGACAGAAACCCTAACTTTAACTACAAAACCTGAGAAAAATATCTGAAAAAGTGACAGACCAGGAAAATATACCCAAATGACATGCACAAATATTATCAGGAGAAGTGGGTAATGAATGTGAACAGTTAAATAAGAAATAGACATCGCTAAAAATCATATTTAAAAGCTTCAATCTACAAATAATAAGCAGTTTAAATATATCGTGGAAGAAAATATCTCCATTTAAATACCATGAAGCTTTTTTAAAAAAGAATTAGGAAAATATCCACTTACTGATACAGAAAGATCTCTGAAGTATATTACTAAATTACAAAAGCCAGAATATAGGACACATTAAATTTTGCGTAAAAAAACAGGGAGAAACAGTAATCTATATTATCTTATGAATGCATATTGAGGCTCTGAAAGATGCACATAAAACTCATAAAAGTGGTTTATTGTGTGTATGTGTGGGTAGGATGGAATGGGATCTGGGAGGCTGAGAACAGGCAGAAGGAAGTTTTTCACAATGTATTTGTTAAACAAGGAGTCTGCATTGCGGATTCTAAACAAATACATACAAATTAAATTTTTTTAAAAATTCCAGTCCTATAGGTAATCAAAGAATGCAAGTTAAAGTAAGGAAGTATACTTTCTTACCTATCAAATGGACAAATATTTTGTGAAATAATATCCTCATTGTTGGCTAAGGCAGTCTCACAACTGCCAGGAGAAAAAAAGATACATTTCTAGAGAGTAAATTGGTAACAGAGTTTGAGTCTCAACCTAGAAATTACTCTTTATAGATTCAATTCTAAGGAAAATATCATAATATAATTTTAAAAAATCCGATGTAAAAAAGAAGAGTTCAAAAGGGGGAGGGGCCAATGTGTAAGAACAGAGTAAGAATAACTCCATACCTTTCTTTGCAGATTTTTCTTTTTCTTTTACTTTTTCTTTTTCTCGGTGTGCAACTGGAAAGAAACAGACAATACTTTTTCACTTAAATAAAGGGAATAAATAATGAAATGTTTGCATGGCAATTTTTGATGTCAAAATGTTATCTGCTGCTTTTGAAAAAATTTTTTAACTGGAATGAGGTTTTACATATTTAGATGTTTAAATATTAAGGTAACTCTAAATTTTTTATTTCTGCTTTCATTTCATATCCAAGCACAAACTTGTACCAAAACCAGGTCTGATTGCAAAGGTAAGAATAGACCTCAGCTTCTCCAAACCTTTAACTTCAATATCATGTAGTAGAAAACTTTAAAAATGTATCATGCTATATGCCAAAGAAGCCCAGCTCAACCCTGGAGAAACATCAAAATATAAAGACAGAAATACAGAGAAATAATTTCCTGAATCTGATGCAAAGTATAATCAACATAAATTGTCCGTGTTACTCTTCTACAGAAATATTCACACTAAAAATTTTTGAAAAATATACTGGCATGAGACTAGAACGACACCAAATCCTTTTAAAGAAAACTAAATTTAATTTACTATGAGCTGTGATTCAATTAATTAATGCAGCAGGGCTCAAATTTAAGTCAAAATCTTTCTCCACAATTTAGTCGTAACTCTTATTAATAGCATGTCCAGTTGTCAGACTAGAAACAAGGGAGTCATCCAGGATTCATCTTTCATTTTCCACTTTTGTTCATTTGCCAACCTCTTTCAATCTACCTTTCAATGTTCTTCTTACACATCTTTTTTTTTTATCCAATATTACATTCTTCACCTGTCATTTATTTACACAAAAACAAAGCAAGCACCTACGTGCTAAAGCTTGCTAGGCAAGACAGACTCTATCCCTGTCATTGTGATGTCAACAAGCTGATGAATAATGGAAGTTAGACAAACAACTGCAAAGGTAGTTAATGGCACTTGGTATAATTGCCATGAAGGAAATAATCAGGTAGCATTCAGAGACCTACACTAGTCTGTGTATTTAGGGAATGTCCCTTGGTAGAAGTGACATTTAAAGATGTGAAAGGTGAGAAGACTTAATCTAGTGAGGGAGTGGGAAGGTAAAAGGGAAAGAGACCATTTTAAAATTTGGAGTAGAATGCCCTTCTTGCTATATTATTATTGCAAATATTATTATAATACTAGTCTAACTATTCTCTTGAACCTTTAGATTGAGATTTTTCTCTCTCAGAGTAACCTTTCTAACAGGAAAATCCGATTATACTATTGACCTGTTAACATATATTAGGATCTCCCTCATGGCCTAGCATGGTATCTATTACCTAGTAGGTGCTATATGAAATCTAAAAATATTTTGCTGCTTTAATGATTTGGTATTTGCTCATCAATGCAATCTTATCTCCATGAATTTCCCCTTGAACTCTACATTGCAGTTATAGCAAAATGATTGTAGCTCCACACACACACCACGTACCCTTCTCTCTCCTTGCCTGTGCCTTCCACCTAGAATGCCTACTCCCACACTTCCCCTTGTCAATGCGCCCTTTCAGTCCTGACTCACTTGCCTCCTCCACTGTGAAATGTTCTTTGATCTCTACTTATTTCATACACCAACAGGACCATGTGCATAATTCCATTTCAACAATTAAATAATAATACTGCCATTGTTCCTATATCTGACTCCCTAGTAGGTGAAATCTCTTTAAAGACTACATCATGTTATTTTAGTTTTGTATCCCTGGCTCATCACATGATGTCTGCCCCATAGTGGAGTTTTAATAGATTTTTCTTTGAGGGAGCCAAATTTTAAAATATTATAAGAAAAACTACTTTCATCTTCTAATACAATTCTATTTATTAACGATATGATGTAGATATTATAAGCACTGCTTGCTTCTGGCCATCAAAAATTTTACAATTTATCAAAATTTCTTAAATAATTAAAACCCAGTGAGAAACAGAAGAAAAAAATACACCTTAGAACATCTAGGCATCATTTTTTCCTTACGTTTAATAGTCCTTTTAGGTGCTTCTGAGTTACTAAGCTCAATACAAATATCTCACAAAATAAACAGAGGACATCAGCATTCACACATGACCACAAGTAGCTTATTTTGGTTCTTTTAGATCACTATTAATTAAGCTAAAAACCAAAGGAGAATCTTGGCAAAAACAAAGCCTCTTTTAAAAGTTCTCTAGGGGGAACCAAGTTTGCATGAGATAAGCTGTGCTTTTGGAACCTGATTGGCAGGATGCCCAGGAGAACACCTAATCTGTGTCTCTGCTCCTGTGAGGGACCAGACCTCACCCACCTCGGACAGCTGGTTGTCCATTCCACTAACGGATTTTCTGGCTGACGTGTGCACAGGCATAAATGGAGGAATTAATACAAAATCAAAAGAGCAAGGGGGCTGAATTCAAACTCAAATTAGCATATTAATGCCTCATTCCTGTTACCCTGGGGGAAAATCTGGTTCCTCACAGTCTAAGTTTTGATTTACAGACACAATCCTGTATGCTGGAATTTCATTATCCCCCACAGAAATGGTGCCATAACATTGCTCAGTGGAACAGCTGGACCCATGTGCTCTAGGGAGCTTTTCAAAATGGCAGACAGCCACTAATGCTTCTTGGATGAAAACTTCAAACCTTGGCAAGATGGAGCTCAGACACCAAGTTTTAAAATTTCGTTTATCAAAACAATGCAACCATCAGTAACTGCCTTAATAATCACGTTAAAATAAAAAAAAAATAAAGAATTTGCCACAATAACTTCATTTGCTAGTGCACCTCCTCTTTGCATAGAAACTACAACCAGTTTTCATATGTGAGAAGAAAAAAGTACTTTCCTTGTCATCAGCTCTGTTTGGCAAGTTACATCTTAGCTAGGACGCTTTTAGCTCAGGACAAAATAAGCTTGTTGCACCTGCTGGAGCTTAATTTGTTTGTCATCCTTATTTACAAGAAACAAAAGTCCCTTCGGTATACTGATAATTAAAAACAAATGGAATCCACCAGTTGGAATGGCCCTGATGTTTGGCATCGGAGTTGGCATGGCCCTGCTGTTCCTGCACTTGCCCAGACTCTGACCTTTCCCTGACCAGAACATTCAGCTCAACTTAACTCTGCTGCAGTCTCTCGCCCATCCCATGTGGTCCCTCTCCAGCACTCTGCAAGCTGTGCTCTGTGCTTTTACAGAGCTTGGCCCTGGCAACCTGCCAAACAGGCCCTGTGTCCTTTTCTGACTGTACCAGAGCTCATAGTGCACCTGACCCTGAGGTTCTTATCAGGCAAACTTTCCCTAGGGGCCAAGCAGTAGGCATTCAGGGCCAGGTTGGTTGAGCTCTTTGCTTATCTCTCTGTTCTTAGTTGGAAAAAATCAAAAGTTTGGCATCAAAATTTTTTCAGTATTAATTTGCAGAGGCTTTAGCCAACACTAAACAAAATGTCAGATGTCGTGGAGCACCTGGGTGGCTCAGTCGTTAAATGTCTGCCTTTGGCTCAGGTCATGATCCCAGGGTCCTGGAATCAAGTCCCGCATCAGGCTCCCTGCTCAGCGGGGAGCCTCCTTCTCCCTCTCCCACTCCCTCTGCTTGTGTTCTCTCTTTCACTGTGTCTCTCTCTGTAAAAAAAATAAATTAAATCTTTAAAAAATATCTCAGATGTCTCTTGGTCAGTATGCATGTCTCTGTATGTTTTTATTTATTTATTTTTGTAACTAATCTATAGAATTTCCATTCTGTGCTAAGGCAAGATGACCTACACATTCTAAGTGATAATGATGAACTCGGTAGGAAAGCACTCTTGAGTAGAGAGACTGTCAAAGATTATGTTACTCATTCTTCCTAAAGGATTATTTTATCATTTTTTAATTTAAAATAAGCACACAATTTTAGAGCTGATAAGAAACTAAGAGATCCATTAGCCTGAACTTCCTTGTCCCTGGATAAGAAAACACTGCCTCAAAAGAGTCTACAGCAGAGAAGAGTAAGAATATCATGATCAGATTTCCAAACTAGTACTCTTCCTCCAAAACTATGCTACCTTGTCCAGGCAGATCCTGTGCAGCCCAGAAACTTGTTCTTATGAGCCAAAGTGTGCTGGCTGGATTCTCCAAGCATGTTATCCACAGTCCATCCTGCAATAATATATACACTTCTTTTTCACAATAAAATTACATTTGTTTATGTATTAAAATGCAGATTAGGCAAATTACCCAAAGATATAAAGCTCATCTGATATATGCTCCAGATCGCAAAGTATATATTTAAGTTCCAAAATATTATTTTTACTCCCAAATCTGATTGAATTGTGTGGGTAATTTCCCCTTCAAATGGGGCTCCGCGGCTACAGTCAGAACTGTAATCAATTCCCTAAAAGTGAGCAGTCACTGTGGAGGTGACACATAGCTTTGTGAGGCGCCTTCTTGCCCCCCCACTTTCCAGGTTTATCTTTCACAGCTGCCAGAGAGACAAAGAAAATATATTTGGTACTTTAAAGAGTCAATTAAGTATGGCGCAGAGAGGGCAAAAGTAAAAGTTTATACAATACAGACTGGCTAAATTAGTTTGTAGTCTTTGAGAGCGTTTTTATAAGGGACTCCAGGATCTTTAGATACATTTTAATGTCCTGTCCTCTTTGGCTTTTGATCATCATCTTCAGCAAAATCCTTTGCCAGCCTATGATTCCAGTCCTATAATAGTTTCCCAGAAACAACCCTAAACCAGTCAATCAGGATTATTATTCTAAATTACCCTTTAAAAAAAATCTTCTTCTGACTCATGCGAGACTGTTATGCAGTGAATTGCATAGTCTCAAAAGATGTGTTGAGGTCCTAATCCAGTACCTCAGAATGTGACCTTAGCTGGAAATAGTCTTTGAGATGTAATCAGGTTAAAATGAAGTCATTACAGCGGTCTTTAATTCAATATGACTGGAGTCCTTATGAAAAGGGGAAATTTGTACACAGAGACTGATATGCACAGAGGGAAGAAACAGAGATGCAAGGAGAACACCTTTGAAGGCAGAGATTGGAGTGGTT